GTTTTTCAGTCTCTCACATTCAGTTTTTGAATCAAACCTTCCAAATTAATGCCATTCTTCACTATCAAATCAAATGCAAAGATGTTTTTTTTTTGGAAAAAAATGCCAAAATTACTGATTTTTGAGAAGATCAAATCCAATATTCTTCTTGGAAAGGCAATATCAAATTGTGGAACTTTGATCCAAAAAAAAAAAAACAGAAATAATTGCAGATGTTTTTTGTCTGATTCAAGTTTCCTGACTGTGCATATACATGCAGTTTACACCACTGCAGAAAGGTAAAATTCCAGACTACATAAATTGTTATTTGTAGTTAGTGTAATCGGTCTAATCTTTCATCTTGGGTGTTTAGAACAAAATTTTGATTCTGTGTTGCAATCATTGTATTTTCAATGTTGATTGCAAGAATTTGGGAGTGGATTGATGAGAAGATAAAGTTGATGTATAAAACAAAGTCGTATTCTCAGTCTCTTTTCATGAAGAGCATGATGAGGCTTCAGTGAATGGATTTTTTACAGCTGCCATACATGGGGTAGATGTTCCGAGCTATGGCTGAGAGATGTTAATCTCAAATGTGCCTACTTTTCCCTGAACAGTTGCTGTACCTGCCTAAAACCATACAAATCCAAACCTAGTCAGATTGTTTTCAAAAGAATGGACACTAGTTGAACCAGATTATAAAAACACACTGAATTGGAGCATGACAAAATATCATCTATGGCGGCCTCTATGTCTGTCTTAGAGGCAGAAGCGCTGATTGCATAGGTGTTTAAGTTGAAATATTAACTTCTTGTTTCCACTTCCATACATGTTTAGATACTCACTTTGCAACATCTCCATTTGAACTGACTGATATCTGGAAGAAGCAGCAAGTTATGAAGACCAGTCAGTGTCATTTGTTTTCTATGAGGAAGAAGAATCTGCTGGACTTACCATGCATTTTCCACTCGTTCTTTGCACCGTGTTTGTTGAATCAAATACTTGATTGTCAGCAGGGCCTGTGTAAGGAATGAAGGTCCTTGCTCTGTTTTGCAGAAATATTCAAGAGCAAACATCAGCACACAAACACAAGTTTTTGTGAGCTAGCATACATGGTGATGATTAGCTCCCTGCAAAGGGGGGGGGGGGGTTGAGCGTGGAGAAAGGTTGAGAGAAACCAGGACTGCATACTTTGCGCAATCGTCTTTATTCGCTGTGAAAGCAGCCGAGCACAGCTTGTCAATGGCCAAGATAGAGCTGCGAGTTGACAGGCTTATCAAGAAGAAAAAGGTATATACAGCCATCTTGGTCATGATTTCTATCACCTATAGTGTATGTGTGACTCAAATGCAAAGTGGCGATGAGGGATCACTTGATATAACAGGAGGGAGCGATGAGGGATCACTGAATAAAACAGGAGGGAACGATAAAAGGGATCACTTGGTAAAACAGGAAAGATGTGGGATGAAGGAAGAAACCCTACTCGGACATCGTACCGGCTTAAATAGCCTCTTTGAGCCTGACTTTGAGTCTGAGTCGAGAGTAGTGAAAAAATGTTAGACCAGTGCTCACTGTTAGGGGATAGTGGTTGCTATGCCTGGCCGGCACATGGTACGGCATATCATCACAAGTGGAGCCGACGGAACCCGGCTCCAAAGCAGCCTCGCGAAGTCTCAGTGTTCCGGAACCATGATGACCGATGCCGTGAATCGCTTGGCAACTCAGATTATGTAGCTAGCCTTTCACATCGGGACACCGATGTCGGTCAAAGACTCATCATTTCAACTTGTTGCTACATACCCTTCCCGGTCGGCGGTGTCGCCGGTAAGCACTTTTGCGCTTCAACTTTTCTTGATCGTGAAGCAATCCGATGGCACGATCGACTTAGGTCCCCGAGCGTATCGGGGATGGTTTCGGCCCCCCCGTTCATGAGCCTACTTAAAGCCAGTTTGACCGTTTTCACCACAGGACGCACTTAACCGAAGTCGCCACGATGAATGCCCCCCATCAGCAAGCTGGAGTACGACCAACAACCGCATCGACAAGTAAAATCCAACTGCCTGTTCTGACCACCAAGACCGGGTTCAAATTTCCCTCGATTTTCTCATTTCCCCCGTTCTTCACGTAAGTGTAAGCAAAGACTCTTTGGCCCTTTTTCTTTTTTTCAAAGTGGTCTTGACAGAGAAAACAAGGGAATTCAGTTTTGTCTATTTGTCCCAAGAAAAAGATATCGTCCATACTGAAGTTCGACATTGGTTTTTGTTTTTTTTGGTAGAAAGCAACCCAACCAACAAACATGGGCCCATCAAGCTTCACTCTGGCAACAGATCATCCTATCGTACTGCAGATACCATCGGGTCTTCAAGCTTGACGTCTCCAATTCTTCAACAACGCTTCTAGAGGAATCTGAATTGTTCAGTAATCCATCGATTTCGAGTTGAGTGAGCTTTCCTCTTTACCTATTTCTTAAATGAAAAGACCATCAAACACCAAACTTATTCATATCACAAAAAAAGGACGATTGAATGCAGATGCGATATTCTCGGTATTTGAGATAATGGTCCAATCAGGTTGAGTCGATTTGGTCCGAAAATAAAGATTGGAGAGACGGGAGAAGGCTAACGATTTCTTGTTGGAGGGGGAAACAGGCACGGCAGAGTACTACCCAACGCGGCCATCGAACCCCACCAAGCAGAATCAAGGCACGAGTGCGACGGCGACGACAAGAACGTATATGCTGATACACTACGATTCACCCACGACGTGGGCCGATCGGATCTACGACTACATCAGCTCGAACGGGCTAACAAACTCGGTGATGACTCTCCATGAGCTCACCAGTCCTGATCACCAGCCCTCAGACCACCCTCTTGTCGGCCTCGACCCAATCATCCTCCGCAAGGCCCTCACTATCTTGGTCAAGGGAGGGAAGGCTAAACTGTTTAAAGGATCTATCGATGGTGTCGCTGGGGATGGCGACGGGGTCAAGTTCTTTTGACCCCCCCCCCTCACTCATTCTCTTCCCTTATTAATCTTCTTCTCCTTGTTCAAACACTCAATGTTGCTGTATGTAAGTTTAATTCCCTCCCATCGCAATACTAGTTTGATCAATAACCGCAAGAATAATGACCCGATCAAGTAATCATGTAGCTGCTTAATCATATGCATGTTGCATTTTGGAAGTCTTACAGTGTTTTCCTTGTTGGTCAATGTATTTGCTCCTGAGCGAAATTCTCAGCAATAGCAAGCTTCTTCTGTATGACACAACTAAGTGTGAAAAGTCAACCAGTCACCAGTAATATAAGAACACTGATGATATTCGGAAACCGTCTTGAATGTAAAGCTAGAGGGATGTGAGGATGCATATACATTTGAATATTTGCATGATTGGGAAAAATCGTTTGGCCACAAAGAGATGAGCAGGACTGTGAGTCTGTGTGTGCAAATTCCATGTTGTGCAAAAAGAAGATTAATGCGGAGGAGAACTGCAAAGCAAGACATAGTCACAATGGCCAATATTAATGATTAATTTCCCACCATGAAGGATGTGCAGTGCAAATCTAATCATAAAATCCCCTGTTTGATATGTTTAAAGGTGAAAATTTCAAGGGGATTCTGAATTGCTTGGTGAATACACCTGCCCCAAAGATACAAGAAGACTAAATTCCATGAATAATCCACTTCTCAATATCTGCCTTTTAGTGATAAGGAGTGGCATACAAGAGTCAATAGAAGGATGCCTTCCATCCAACAGTTTCATAAGTGGAAAAGATTTGCATGTGTCTACCAACAGTGCCAGACTGCATAAGTTTTTGCTTCATGAAAGAACATAAGCAAAGTGTGGGTGTGTCCTCAAATAGGCTGAAGGTTCAAGAAAATCATGATAAAGGGGGGGGCAGATCTGAAGAACTGAGCAAGTGTCAATAGGTGAAAAAATAGAAGGATGGTGTGAGTTTGAAGCAGTGTGTTTGGTCTCAACTCCAACACACAAATTGACAACTTTGATGCCTCCCCCCAAGAAAAAAATGGCTGGGGGTCCAACTCCCAAACCTCCCCTTGATTTTGGGGGGAAAATGCTCAAGATTGCCCAGATCCAGAGTTTGATCCTGGAGGCCTGGGACTACGATGGTTTTGGATATGATTCATACAGTGGCTCAGAGCACTGTACTCTACAAATCTTCCCACAAAAGTTGGTATGGTTGAGCAGGGAAAAACCCCAATGCCAGAACTTGTAAAGAGTGTATGTTTGGAGTCTACATGGTTTGTAGATTCCAAATCCAAAGCAGCAACCAATTTGGTCCAGCCAAGAGGAACAATTTCACTCATGAACCACTGGGTCACAGACCATATATGGCAGCCCAACTACATAGTTATGGGATACCCTAATCCCATACTGACATAGCCATGTGTCAGCTTATCCCTCACCAGTGTGTTGGGAAGGTCATTCAAATCAGCTGAGAGGCCAAAGGGACTTCTCACCCCCCCCCCCCCCCCAAAAAAAAAAACCTGAACATGTTCCAAGTTTTGGGTCCCAACCATTCAGACATCCCCGCAACCTTGCACCACTGTACATTTTGCTCCAACCTTTTCATTTCTAATCCATACCTATTCTTCCCAGCCCATTATTCCATCTACATCATGATCCTCCTTGGCAACAAACCAGCTCCCCTGAATTCCCTAAAAAAGATGGAAATCAAAAACAGTCACTTTGAAAAAGTAACCAATAAATCCCACATCATCACTTCAGCATAATTTTTAATGGTAAACCTATTTGTAAGATATTGTTCTGATGATAAAGAACCAACCAGGGTGCTTGATTTGAGGAAATCCCACTCCCTATATTGTAAGCTTGGCCCAACAATATACTACAGTCATCTTCATATCCTGTGAGTGTCCAAAAACAACA